TTTACAACATTATGTGGTCCAACACTCCTGTAAGCAGCCCAGAGTCCAGTTTACTCTACATGTGATTTTTATCATCGAGGACATAAAAACGAGTCCAAACATAAGACGCCATCTTTATTCTTGGAGCTCAGTCTGCAGCAGGACTACAAGCAGCTGTTTTAGCTCCACCTCCTTCATACAACTTTCTTCTGATTGGTTACAGCTGTAAGCCTGCTGAGGGGCATATCAGCGTATAAGGAGTCTGCGATTATATTTCTACTGTTTTCTACTCTCCACATGATGTTGGGATGCAGGTGCAGCTACAGTCGAGTTAGCGGTTAGCAGGGTTCCAGTTTCAAGCTAACAAAAAACAAACCAGAGATGCTCTGATTTCAAACTGAGCTCAGCGAGCTGTGAAACACGGCGTTTCTCAGCTGTAAACAGAACGATCAAGGGACGAGCTCTCTGCTGATCGTTACGGCGACCGTTCCTCAGTCAGATTACTTAGCCTTTGAATATTTTTGTATCCTTCTCTTCTGATTAGTCGCGTTTCTTTCATGTTTTATGAAGAGTGTCGTATCTGCCATTTTCTGTGTTGTGCTCGTGTTTGAAGCTGTAACCAAAAATTTAAATGCTCGTAATTCTTTACTTCTTCACTCATGTTTTTATCTCCGAGAGGAAGATTACTGAGAAAGAGCGTTAGTCTCACCAGGGGCTGATCTTCATGAAGGGGATGGGGGCGCAGGTGAAGAACACGGTCATGAGGAGGAAGGACTTCCTGCCCCAGATGTCTGACAGAGCACCAATCAGAGGAGCCGACAGAAATGACAGGAAACCCTAAACGGACAGAGAAATACAAACTCAGAGACTCCATGATATCATAATATTCAACAAGCGTTAAGTTGAGAAGTATCTGAAAGCTGCGCTGACAGTAAACAGCCGAGCGGTGTACCTTGACCCCCTGCACCAGGCCGTTCATCAGGAAGGTGTGCTGAGGAAACATATCGTGCAGGACCTGAAACCACAAACACACTACTTTCACTTCCTCAGCACGTAGACGCCATGATGGTTCGCCCTTTATTACATCAGCCTGTAGATCATTTTTGGTCATGTGATGCTTTCAGCGAGGACACGTTCAAGGTTTTAATAATCCCACTTTGGGGTTTATAGTTGCAGGAAAAGGTTTAAAACTTCATGAAAACTGTGTGTACTTACGGCCAGCATGGGCGTGGTGAGCAGGCCCCACGCAAAGAACTCCAAGAAGATCACCACCACGGCGTGAGTCACTCTGGCTCGGCTTCGGCCGTGCTGCGGCGAGCAGAGAGGCAGACGCATTAACCTCACTTCCTGTGATGCGTCCCGCTAACATGATAACATTAGAGCACATCTATCGCTGCTTTCACTTTAAGACCATCAGAGTTCAGAAAAGCGCTTTAAAAGCCAGTGGAAGCATCACCCACAGACACGTTTGTCCTCAAGCATTCGGCTGCATCGCTTCTTCATTTTTGAGAAACTCAACGCCGTTACGGGCTAATAAGACTGTGCTGTATGCGAGACACCGAGAACGCCTTAAAGAGGAGCAGAGGAAGGAGGAGGTACCGACTCCAGTGATTCCTCGTCACCTGGAACTTAACCCAGATAATCTGTCCTCCAGCTGAAGCTCGCAGCACGGTGCAGAGTAAGAAAAGGCGGTTTTCACAGATCTGTTAAAACTTGTGAAAAACAAACTGTTTGGAGGAGCGCGGCTGTAACTACCGGGGCTGAGACAGGGAAGGTGGGTTCAGGTAAGTGGTTTTATAAATCTCTGTAACAGTAAGCTGGATTTAAACAGGTGCGCCTGTGGGGACTGACTCACTGCTGGAGCCTCTGCTGGACATTGGAGGAACTGCAGCTTTCTGAGTCTGAGGCTCTGTGGGGAGTAAATGCCGCCATGGGCTCAGCCTCCAGGTTCAGTCGACTGAAGAGTGTCGCCTGCGTTTATGGAAACTTTAATGTGGCAAAATCTGCAGAGCTGCTGGCATCGTGCAAACAGTAGTAACCACAACTGCAAAGAAAACCTGCAAAAAGGCTTCCCACCACACTGTTTGATGTAGCTTCACGTCACTTTGGGTGTCTTCAAACAGTCTGAACCCCAAAGACAAGTGGAAACTGTGAATGTGGAGACAGCACAGTACAGCACAGCACAGCAGAGATGCTCTCCATTTGCGTACAACGGGATTTTCCACCTATGCAAACGTTCTCCTGCACTGTCCTCCAAACACCCAGCAGCTCAGCTGTGCGTAGGTCGAATGCTGATTGGTTTATAACCTCACCGATACAGAGAAGAGTGACAGCAGAGGTCACAGGGAACAGAAGACGCACAAAAGAAAACACACACAAAGTGTCCAGACAGCGGCTGAGCGGACACTTTGTCTTTAACACCATTTCACTTCAGCTGTTTGTTTGTTAGAACTTTATTGTTCTGCACAGCCGGCTGACGAGTGGCCCACAGACCAGTCGCAGCACATCGTTTGGACGCTGCCTCCATCGAGCACAGACGCTCGCTGCAGGCTGACGGGACGTCAGTAGCTCTCCAAATTAATTTGACATTTCAACAGTGTGAATACCTCGTGCATGCAACCACAACAAACCAAACCCTGATGTAGGCAGGAGGGATGGAGTTTTACAATCAGTGCGTCCCCGTCACATCCATCCAACTATCATTTGTGTTTACAGCCTTTAAAACAACAACAATGGATGAAATGCAATGATAATGATGGACAATGATAACCACACCCCAGCTTTGTTTCTCTCCTTATAAACGCATTTGTTTTAAAAATACAGACAGCTACATGATCATAACTGCTTTGACATCTGATTTTAATATTTCATTTTTTTAAACCTACACTTTAATCCCACTTTGAATTTTCTGGCTCTGGTTACAAACTACCTCTGAATACAGTTTAGAAGGAGCTCAGTGTGTGCACTCAAACATATGGCAGTTTACATACAGTCTACTCCATTACCAATCAAATACAGGAATACATTTAAAACAAGAAAAGAAAAATAAATAATCAAAAACAAATTAACTACTTGAAAATGATTCAATAGATAACATACATTTAAAAGAAATTGAAACAATGATATCTATCCTAGGATCATTCAAATAACAAACTTAAAACTTTATTCAAAAAATATTAAAGATAATAAAGAAACGAACGTAACACCCATCGTGACTTTTTCATGTACTTTGTATTAATGCCGGAGTAATACTACTGTAATAGTGTCATAATGTAATTTGAGTGCAGTACTTCGGTTTAGTTCCGGACTTTCACTGCAGCAATACTCTGTTTCCAGGACTTTTACTTGTTACCGAGGCTCTTTACGGTGTTTCTCCTGAATTAAAGCCTCTGAACATTCACACCTCCGAACCAGACCGGCGACAGTTTAATGTTTGGATGCTTTAAGCTTTAATTATCGCCCGAAGTTTGCTAACAGCTAATTAGCTTCCTGTTTTACCGCTCCCTGTCAGGCTAACTGAATTAGCTTCTGTCGGTGAGTCAAACATGGCTGTCAACGGGACATCAAAGCCGTTTAATCCGCTTATTAAAGCAGTCGTTAGCCTCTTTTATCGCCCGCTCACACCGACGTTGGCCGGCGACGCCAACCCACAGCACTCACCGAGCTCCGGACCAACACCATGTCGCTGGCCTCCGTCGCAGTTTTCTCCCGCATCATCTCACATCTTGCTGAGAAGATTTTCACTCCCGGTTCGCGCTGTGGGACATCCTCCCGAGGTGTCTCCGTCTCTTCCAGAATGCCCCGCCGCGTGAGATAAAGATGTGTCCCTGCTGAGCTATCATGGACCTAGCCCCGGAGCTCTTCGTGGTAGCGGTAACTGTGAGCAGGAGACTCGGCTTTCGTTTTCGCCGAATTCCTCCGCTCTGACCTCCTCGCTGGCTGCTTGTGGCTCTATTTTATCACCGGAATACACCGCGTGCGCACCGCCGAATTCTCTATTAACAAGTGGGACAAGCACCGCCCCGCGGCGGGTGTAGGTTATTCAAAACAAAACGCACATCTATCTGCCAAAAGAATCTGTTTCCAGATCAGATTTCCTCCTGCTCAGTGCGTCTGTTACATATGCAAAAGCTGAAACATCGGACTCTGAATCAGTGAGACTTACGCTTAAAAAGCGCGCCCCCTGCCGGACCCGATATTACAGTGCAGTTTTGTTAATACTTATTAAGAGTGATGCCGTCGTTTTTTTCAGCGAAAATCCTCATTTATAAAACATGGCGGACTAAAAACTTCTTAGTTAAGCGCTTTTGTTGTCTGTGAGGAAACTGGTCAGCGCAGAGTCTCAGTATTTGGCAGGAAGCGAACGGGGATGCGAACAATCCAATGGATCACTTTTTAGCAAGCGGGGGGGAAAGGCGGGACTCAGCTGTGGAAGATTTTCTTTTTTGGCGTCAGCGCGAACACGCACGGGCACAAATGTCAAGGCAGCCCGCGTGACCAACTGCAGTTCTGGTGAGGGTTTTTCAAAATAAAGGCCTGACTGGCTGTGACTGTAAATTTATGGTACACAGTTATTTAAAATTTTAAAACAAAACTGTTAGTTAAAATGACAGCGCTATCTATGTTTTCTTTTTGTTAATGTTTGTTTTTTTAATCACAGCTTCTTCAACATAAAATAAGTCTTGTTGTGCTGTTTCAAGTCTTTAAAGTCTACAATAACAATATTAGCCAATTCAACCAATACATAGGTAGATAGAGAGGAATGTGAACCTCTTTCATCGTGTGAGTCTGTGATTCTCATTAGCTACATGGATAATCTTTGCGGGTTGAAAGTCGCCACTCTTTGTGTGTGTGTTTCCTTTGCTTGTTTTAATTGTTAACCTATAAAAACACAGAGGTATCCTGTAATCACAGTCAGGTCATTATGAATTATAAGTAACTTGCTGGCAATCCTTCTACTGAGAATTTACTGTAATTTTTTTCAGTGCAAAGCCAACCTCTAGAGACCCAGCCAGAGGAACAGCAGTCTTTCACTGGACTGACCGTAACATCTGTGGGAAAGCACCGCTGTCCTGTAGAGACTTTTAAAGATAACTTACTCATTTCCCTCAAAAATCTACGAATCAAAAACCATTAAATCATTCATTACCGTAAATCATTTTAATCATTCCTTGTTTAACAGAAATATGATCTATAATTATTTTTGTTCTGTGCTAAATATTCAAAACTGTGAAAACATATTTTACCACGATGAGCTGCAGCGAGGTCTGTAGGAAACTGAATGCTTAAAGCCAAAAGAGTCAAACAGTGAGGACAGTTTAGACTGGGTCCTTCTTTGACTGAGTACTGATAAACCTATAAATGACATTCTGAATTTATCAGCCTTCAAAAACACGATCATGTGTCGTTTTACTGTGCAGCTGTCTCTCCTGAAAAAGAGAACTTAATTTCAATGAGATTGCCTGTTTACATAAAGGATTTCATTTCATAAGAAGAATAATAGAAAAGATAAGAGTTATTAAACCCAATGTGCAATTTCAATAAGCCTATAGGCCAGGGTTTTCCACTTTCTGCTTTCCGCTGATGATCTGTGTCATTATTTGTCATATTAAAATGTTGATAGTCCAGTATTTTAATATGTCATATTCTGACCTGTGTGTTTATTATAATATCTCTGAGTTTGGCATTTCTGTTGCTACACGAGCCTTCAAGTTTTATGTGGACTTTTTTTTTTTTATCTCCCAGTCACCACGGAAGTTAAAAAGTGTTTCAGATTAAAAGCAGGAGACCTGATTGGCTGTTTTCAGTGCTGAAGAGCTTACTCTCCCACAGGCTTCTGTAGAATCACTTGCCACGGGTCGCCCCCTTGTGGAAGTTTGAACGTTCAATTCAATTTTCAATTTTATTTATATAGCGCCAAATCACAACAACAGTCGCCTTGAGGGGGCGACCCGGGGCAAGTGATGGGAGAGTAAGCTCTTCAGCACTGAAAACAGCCAATCAGGTCTCCTGCTTTTAATCTGAAATACTTTTTCACTTCAGTGGTGACTGGGAGATTTTAAAAAAAAAAGTCCACATAACACTTGAAGGAAAGCATTTCCTTCATTTCATCTTTTACTTTGGTGGCAATATGTAGAGCCGGCGCTCTTATTTTGAAGGGGCGCGCCGCCTCTTTCCCGCCCTCCCTCCATCTTGGCGCAGCTAGCTTGACGCAGCGGAGCGCCAAAGGGAGGCTGAGCGGATCAATTTGGAGCCTCGGCGGCTGATCGGGATTATGCGGCGCTTCTGATCTCTGTGTCGGTAAGAACGTGCGACCCTCACGCGCCGCCGGTGACCGAGCCGTGCATGCGCCGCTGTTCGTGTGCAGAGCCGCGCGCTCAGCGGCCGTTTTCTCCGCAGCAGACCTCCCTTCTCCTTTGTTCGCCTGCGCCTGCTCTCGCACCGCTGCGGGTTTTCTCGGTACTGGCGCAACATGGCCGCCGCGCGTGCGGGGGAACGAGCCAATTAGCTGCGCGCATATTTTGATATTTAGCGTGAGGATGCAGCTCGATGAGGAGGAGGGGGGCGGGTAAAAGTGTGACCTCTGCGTGGTCATCTTCATCACCAGCAGCAGCAGCAGGACTAGCTCCTCCAGCCTTCAGGTGCGGAGGGAGCAGCTCTAAGAACCGCTGTGTGCGGGTTTGAAGCCACAACAGTGAGTCTGTGCGGTGTCAGCAGGCCGTCCTCACCTGGCACACAGTCCGGAGGCAAACACCTGAGGTCGGTCCCCCGCTCAGCCCCCCTCTCCCCGTGGAGTAAAGGTGTAATCATAATAACCAAAGTATTTTTTATGGCAGAGCTAAAAAAAAAATGTCAGCAAACTAAAGTTTTAGGTGTTTCCAAGTGGCCGGAGGGCGGAGGTTACCCACTGTGGAGAGGATACTGCGAGCTTCACACGTAGCTGTTTGGCTGTTGTTTACTTCATTTCCTCTCATCTGCACACCTTCTGTTTGCTTGGTTTTTTAAAACAATCAAATAAATTTTTCGTAATTTTGTGCTCCAAAATTGGGAGATGTCGGACCTCTCGCACTAAACTTAAGTCCAATTGTCTCTCTTTAGTTTCTAGTGTCCCTGAACTTCTGTAGTTGTCAGACTTGTTGTTGTTTCTCTGTGACAAATCTGAACCACGATTAGAAACCTTCCAATAATCGTTTCAAACTGAGTTTACTTGATGCTAATCGTCTTACAGGCATCTACGTGTAGAGCAGGAATTCCCTCAGATATGGACTTCTGTTTCCAGACAAGTTCCCCACTCTCACTGTCACAATAGGAGCAGAGCCAAAGTGCGTTACGTCCCATGATGTTTCATTCTGGACTGAAATGTGAGCGTGATGACAGTGGAGATGGAAAAATGTATAAAAGTCAAGAAGGCAGCACATTTAATGAAAGCAGGAGTGGTCCCAGCATGGAGCCTTGGGGGATGCCACACTCCACGGGGCGGACAAAACTGAGAAACTTCCTGCTTTGAAGGTGCAAATGAGCAGTGATCAACCATCACGGAACAAAAGCCATGACTTAAACGACACGAGCTGGAAACACTTGTAACAAACAGCGCAGTGGATCCACAACGCTGTGAAAAACTATTAGATTTAAAAACAAAGTCAGTATTTTAAAGCAAAACCTCTTTTTTTCCTTTTAATCTGCGGATCGTTCCAGATGCACCGAGGACACGGGGTCAGACTTCACGACCTTTGAACGGGGCGCCACGGTTCCCCATGTATGTTGCTCACCATTCCAGCAAATCTGAATGACACACTTTGGTCTTAATGATTTCTGCAAAAGTAACTCAAAGGTTAAATTATAGAGAAAAGTTTTAGCCGTTATATTTTCATACAAAACTCAAACCGGATTCAAGCTAAGTTTAAACGGGTCGCTGAAAATAGAAGCCTGAGGAGGAAAGGCTGCAGTGTGAGGAAACAAAGGCTTATTTTGAGCTGTGAATCACACAGAGCTACTGTGAGGGAGCAGAATAAGTCACCTTTACTAACGAACTCTTAATGTTAGCAGATCTATTCAGAATATTGTCTGGAAATCAGATTTAATAAGTAAGTGTCTTCTTTCTTCCTGACATGCGCTTGTCTTTGAGCGTTTGAAGCGCACATACGTGGATTCAGCTCAAGATTGTAGAAATATTTCATTACAAATTCATATTCAGTCCAGAGTTTGTTGATCAGATGATGATATTCTTGAGTAAAGTGTCAGGTTTTGTCAGTGTAGCGCTTACAGACGGGTTTGTTTGGGTCCCTGTTTGGATTCAGTGTGAGGAGGTTTCCCTGCAGATGCTCATCCACCTGTCCGGAGGTTAAAGGCTGCTTCTCAGAGTGACCCTCTATCCTGCTCTTCTGCTGCGAGTCTGCCGTTACGCGGTGATGTCACTGTGACCCAGCGGTTGGTGTCGCAGCAGCAGGTCTGTGGTTTCTGCTGCAGGTGCGGTGACAGCTGCAAACATCAGGAGCAGCTCGGTGCGAATCTTCCCGCCGCCGTTTGTGACCTGGTTAAAGCGTGGAGGGGATTTTCAGGCTCAGTCCTGTTTTCTGTTTGGTTACCAGAGGAAGGCATCTTCGTTCACACCGACTGTTCTACCTGCTGCAGTTCTGTTTTTACGTAGATCTGATCTTTCTAGAGAGGAAGTGACGAGGGTGACTGACTTCTCGTGGTCCTTGAGCTGATTTATCAGATGGTAGGAGGGCTGGTTAACGCTTCGCTTCCTTATTTGGCAGGAACTATATTATTATATATATAATATGTATTAAAAGACTGTGTGGATATTCGTCTGCTTGGATTTGTTTTTCATGCACAGGTGTTATGTTTTTAACGTGAATAATATCCACCATCTCACTGCATCGATGCCCAACATGAGACAAAGAAGGATTATTTTGAACTCTGGATCATACAAAACTGCTGTAGTAGAGTCCAAGAGCAAATTCATTAAAAACTACAAGATAATGATCAAACATCTATTAAATTAATAATCTGTGTGTCATTAAAAGATGGTGAGGTCCATATACTCACACTGGCGCCGTCTTTGTTGTGTCAGCTGTTAACCACAACCTGAATTTCCTCAATACCTGCAGATTTGCAGGAGTCGAATAAACGTGTGTTAGCTTCAGTTCAGTGCTGCATTTCTGGCCTAAAGCTGACAGATACAGCTGTGA